CAAAAGTTGTAAATGATTATTTACGTGAGGAATCGGATGGCTGACAAATTATTGCTCTTCTAATCAGACAATTTTTGAGAGGTTTTGTTTTATCATATCTTTTTATGTCTTCGTCGTTTCTGTTTTGCCTAGGTCAAAACCGTTTATAATCGAATTACAAAACACTCTAACCTCGATAAATTCATTAAAATTGTTTTACTTTTTTAAAAAAAAAAAAACAAACATTCTTTTGTCATCGATCATTATCCTGAATTTTGTTGTTATGACTATATCTTCGTATTTATTATTAAATGAAGTACAAATATGTGAGTAGAATAAGATGCACGTAAAGGACACACTGAACCAATTGTGTGGAAATATGGGGACTAGTCTGGACAGGGGTAAAGAAAAAATAGAGTAAATATCGGTTTGGCTGGCCAGGACTAGTTGATAATGAAAGTGTTATTTTAGGAAAGAGAATCTTTTGAGAACTTATCCTAGTTGTAACGCAAAATAATAGACATTGTTTTATTAATGGAATTCCAGACCTTTAACAGTCTTGAGTTTGGAACACTCATTACTAAAATTAACACCTGACTCTTAGGTGCGGAATTGAAAACACAATTTTTAAACACATGTAGGTCTAGAAATTGCCGCTCATATCCTTTTCGCTACACAGTTTTGTCATCCATGATGCGTCTATGCTGATAAATATAGCGTTGATAAGGAGCACTCAGAAATTTAAAGTTATTGAATTTTTTAAATCATGGTGTTTGCATAGGTTTTTATGGGAAATAAAATGTTATCTTGTTATGACCATTTCCGGTAGTCTGGTTCACAGTAAGATAGACAATGCTCATATTTATGCTTTTGACGAGGTCCTTATTTCACAACCGTAAACAGGTGGTATGTTGCAATCTTCCGGTGTACTAGATACAAGGCACGCCGTTAGATCAGCGGTAAATTGTTATTTGATATGGTTCCTGATTGTTTTGTTGTTGCACTATCCAAATAACCACCGGTACCTGGAGGGTCTAATGGCAGATTAATTACGTCTGTGAGTTGGTATCAGTCCCCCCCCCCATATGCATTAGCGTTTATCTATGTAATCTGGCCATCTTCATGTTAGTCGCATTCACCACGTTATTGACAAGGAATACGCCCCACAATGCGTGGTTTATAAATGCCGGAATTTCATGTCGTTCATATAAAATAGCATTATTTAACCTGTTTACATTCCATCAATCTTCCAATGGAATCGACTTCTGATTAATCACAAGATGTTTTATGTACATGGGCCTAATTAATTTAAGTACAGATAAACCTATTAGATCAATGAAATGGTTTTATTAATGTTTTTAAGTATCTATTTGAGGTTCAAAAATAATCTTCATTTTCAAAATTTTGTCCAAATTATTCATTCGTTTTATATTTATTTTCTAAACCCTTTTGAATTATTTATTAACTTATTTTATGTACACAATTTATACAAGAATAATGAATATTATAATTAATACTTAAACAATTCGAAGTACATGTTTGTCAAGGTAGATTTACAAAATAAGAGTATCAATTATCCGAAAAGAATTGAAAACAGAAAAACCTTCCGAAAAAATTATAATTTATTACTAAAGGACACTGAATATATGAAAACAGTAAAAGAAGCTATCTTAAAAGTTAAAATTCAGTACGTATGTGTTGAATAACTATTAGATATTACTTAGAATATACATACATCCGATTTCAAGCCTGATGTCAATTATCAACTTTTTTAAATGGTGCTGTTGGAAATAAAAAGAACATTTTCACATGCATTCTTTAGAAAAAAGAAAGAACAAGAATGACAAGAAGATCAACTAATTGCAGATATAAGCAGTTTAGAAGAGAGAGAGGTGATTTGAGTGAATTGCAAAAACTGGAAGAGAAAAAAATAGAGCGAAAAGACCATAGAAAGAAAAAGATGGATGAGGTAAGTGTATGTCTTGAGTTGAGTGGATTGAAGGAGGAGAGATACTTCCATAACTTAGGCAATGGAAACTACGTGCGTAAATGTGCACCACTTCTTGTTTAAACTTATAGTCCTTTAAGACAGATTAAAAAAAAAAATGGCTGAAGGAAAAGTATTTTATATGAACTTGTATAAAAAGAGTTCAGTTGATCCTAACGATCTTGAAATTCTGCTTGATTATTCCGACATTCTAAGATTGAATGACTTAACAGAAACATTCTTTAAATGGTCCTACATCATTTACAGAAGCTGCAAATCTCTACCACCCCACCCCCCGCCTAATAAAAAGCAGTCCAGGGTCTGAACATCTAACATTTCAAGTTTGTTATGTTGTTGTAGTTGTTGTTGTTGTTGAGCTTAATGCCATTTTCAGCACACGATAGGCTATTCATGGCGGCCAGTATTAAAGGTGGAGGAAGAAACCGGGAAATCCGCGGAAAGAACCACCGACCCACGAGAAGCTACTGGCAAGCTTTCTCACATATCCACAATCGCCGAATCTTAGACTCGAACCCACGCAGACATCGGTGAGATGGCAGTGATCCGTAACGGACAGCGCTTTAGACTACTCGGCCACTCGGGGCCCCTCAAGTTTGTTAGGATAGACTGAACTCTTTTAATACTTTTCTTTACATGGAAGAATGTTGTCTAAGTAGTCTAAATGGAAAAGTCTCTTACAATTTTCAGTTCCAAATATCTTTCATTTTGGATAGATTTTATTAACTCAATAACTAAGGATTTAACAGACAGACCAACCCTGATCATTTCGTAAATAGTGTTGCTTTAATTTCATTATGGAAAAAAATTATAATGCTTCTGGAAACTGTACATAGGAAAATTTTGACAAAAGATGTACAAACAGTTAATTGAGCTATTGACAGCTACCTGCTGTTCTAGTCTTAAAATCTATGGCCAGAATAGGCACATTGGCAAGCAAACATATCCTTTCCAATTTACATTACCAAAAAGAAATGACGATATGTGATACACATTGTTAAGAATACTTTGGCGGTGTGTATTACCAAAGAATATCAGAATGTCTTGTCTTGTCCAAATGGCAATATGCATTGTGTTCATGTAGTGAGCATATAGAATATAATGCGCTTTTTACATTCTTATAACAGGTTCACTAATATTATCAACACGCTTTATGGGTGGCATTTATTCCACTCAAACGCATCCCATCATTCTTAACGAACATGCGACTCAGTTTGGTTGGAGTCAGTGTTTTACGACAAAACAACACAAGTAGGTTATTTGGCGTTGAGGCACTTGGGGTCAAGTGCAGTGCTTTAAGACACACCAATGTAACCGTCCAAGGCTGATCCTATTGCAAGATTCGAACCTCCATTTTAAATAAATGTATTGCATTGTGTTGCATTTGTATTGTGTTGCATTGTATTGTTTTGCATTACATTTGTATTGTATTGCATTGTATAATATGGTAATGTAGTGTATTGTAAATAAATATAATATAAATTGCACTACAAATTCTAATGTACTTTGCACATCGGATAACACTATGCAACGTTTATAAATATTCGAGGGTCTCAAAGTTAGTTGTATAAAACCAGTAAGGTTTACCTTTGTAAAACAGGAATGCATAGAGTCTTGAAATCACATGATCACTGATGTGTAAGTGGTGGGTAGAAATGCAAAATAAGAGTGTCCATTACAGATTCGTAATGTTATTTGTAGAACATTGTATAAACTGTAAAATGTTTGTGCATTTATCACTACTGTTCCATGCGCTTTGTGCAGACCTTTCCCGTGTCACAACAGGCGATCGAGGCGTCATTTGTTTGCATGCAGGCGTACTCACATTTAACTAAAGAACAACTGCGTTGGCTGATCGCTGCAGGATAAAATCTGTCTGTGTGTAAGAGTTTGTAGATAGTTATGTAAATTCTTTACTCACAGAAAATGGTAAGTTGGCAATTGTTTGCACGTTTAATATAATGTAGAGAATAAAATATAAATTGTTATGTATTGTTTTGGTCAAATTTAGTCATGACTAAATTATAGTAATTAATTAATCAATAATAATAATAATAATAATAATAATAATAATAATAATAATAATAATAATAATAATAATAATAATAATAAAAATAATAATAATAATAATAATAATAATAATAATAATAATAATAATAATAATAATAATAATAATAATAAACTATTCCAGAGTTTGGGGTAATTTCCCATTGGACAGGTCTGTTTAGGTGGGTTCTTAGAAGAATTAAATTATTTTCTATTGGATGGGTTAGGTCACAGAAATAGATATTTTGAAATATTAGTTTGAGTAGGAAGATCTGTCAAGTGGGACATATTGCAAAAATCAGTCTTTATACACTCTCATTATATAATGAGAAAACTGAGCAATCTGATTCATTCCTATTTTAGATTTGTTCGTTTTTTTATTCAATTCTTATTTCATATGTTGTAACATCAATTTCAGAAGCATTTAATATTTTGTTTACATATTAATTAAGAGGAACCATTTGTTTAGATTATTCATTGAAACTACAAAGTGCTCATTGGACTAAAATATTATTCTTGGAATATTGTGACTTATTCCAAGGAAGTTCTGAAAAATGCAATTTTAATACATTAGGACTATTGTCAGGCCAATATTTTCTAGAATCAGAAATTCATTCGGAGAGTTCGATTCTTTCGGACCTGAATAGAACATTGTTTAGGATTACTTTGCACTTTCTACAAAATTTCCAAAACATCATTAGCGATTAGTTAACGATCTCAAATAATCTTCAACAGCATATATACTTTTTGAATCAAAATAAAATTGCTCAGGTGGGATATTACTAAAATATTTTTGAGCGTATTCACTTTTCCAAATCGAAATAAGAGACTAGCTTTATATTCATGAAATTTTTTACAACATATAGGCCCTTCTAAACTGGATACCTCATCGCTTTAGAATTGTTTTTTAATACAACAAAAAAGCGATGTGATGGCTAAATTAGAACAGTATATGTGATGCAATCTATTTTGTTTTTCTGACCTAGTGGTTAGAGCGTCCGTCTCAGATGCGGAAGATCGTGGGTTCGATCCCCGGTCGAGTCATACTAAAGACTTACAAAAATGGTACTAACAGCTACCTTGCTTGGCGCTCAGCATTAAGAGTTTAGTATTAGGACTGGTTGGACTAGTGTCTACATAGCTGATTTTATATGTCATTATAACATCATGGTTGAACCTCTGCCATGTATCAACGGCTATTTGAAAACATTGGAAGAAATTACTACTAAAGTTGCACTGGACCCAGTAAAAGCCAAATGAAGAATTGCACGTAAAAACAATTCCCGCTACACCAAATACAGCTGGTGTTTTACACATAGCACCTGAAATGGTAATAAATCAAACTTGTATCCAGTTGGATACGTTATGTGCTAATATGTATGTATTTCTTTCTAACACATCTACATTGTTCTATCTCATTTTAATCTCGTTGATTGTTTGCAGTGTAAATGTGATATCGTTATTTATTTGCATTGCCTCAGATGGATGCCCAATAATTAGTACAGGACAAAGTGAAGAAAATATATACTTTTCTCATCCATATAAACTAGATTTCCGAACCTGTGCTGTTTGAACGGTTTGCAAAGACTCCACCCTTCTAAGCTGAATTCTAGTATAATAATGTGGACCGTGGTAGTTATTTATTCGTTGGCAACAGTTACGTTCTTTATTGGATAAGAATTGTATATGGCAGTCCCCTGTGAATTACAATGCAGTAAATTCTGAACTTGCTACATAAAACTAAAAGTAACCAGTTTAGAAATTTCTTCGATATTCACATTTGATTATGGACATCATTCTTTTCCCCCAAGGTCTATTGACCTACTCTATCTTTGAACTCAAACATATCGATCTATCGACTTATCGATCCGATGAAATGTACTGGATTGAGCCATGTGTTGGCTTGCTTATTAGTGCAGTCAGTACATATCCTTCCCGATCATTACAACCTGTTTCATTTTGTTGGAAGTAACTAATGAGCGTTACAAATCTTGTAGGCGTCATAATTCATCGCTAAGTATTTAAGGGTACGTTTGATTACCTAATTGTGCTATCTGCAATATAGATCTATTGCACTTCGTAAACTGCGCAGTATCAGATGGCCATTTGGAACTTGACATTACCTAGCACAGAAAACTTTAAATTGCGATAGTTACCTTTGTAATATCGAACATTTCTATCCAAATTATTGCATCAATATTGATTATCATGTAGGCACGAGGTATCTATGAATATGGTATTGTTAACTTAATGGACTTTAAGCGGTCAGATTTTAAGAATCAAGTCCTACATAGTTCATAGATCTGATTATGATTATTGTGCCATGTCATTATTGTAATGTCAAGAACGGTAATTAGTCATCATTTTGTTTCTATTCTGTCATTTTTATGCGCTATCGCCATTCTGTGAAAATACCAGCCAGTTCTGTGTAAGGGAAAGTCGTTTTGAATCATAGTTTTGTGTGAAGATTAAAGTTAATTCGTAAACAACTTTAGTGTTAGATGTTATTCTTTGTATCCCGTAACAGCAATATTTCCATCACTTCTACAGAACAAACAAAATTTATGACAAATTAACATTAGGAAGTCGACAGTACAGTTTGACTTTATGATCATGCGCCTTTATGAAGAGAAATAACACATTATTTATTAGGGAAAATATCAATAGTTTTGAAAATAAAATTGGACTAATTCTGATATTGAAAATTCTCTCAAGTTGTTTACAAGAAGACTAAATATCATCAACAATATAATACAAAAAATATATGACTGATATTGTAAACAATTTATTAATTTACGTCACATTTAATCTTCAACGCACGAGGAGGTTTTACAAAATAGCTTTTTGATAAAGGAAAACAACAGTGAGAAAAGTGTTCTTTGCCCTGCATTATCATAATTTAACATAAAAATTTCATCCTCACATATGCAGCAGATGTTCCATCTATATTATATGCATGCGTTGTATAAATGCCGAAATAAATGAAAATGTTTCATTCTAAAAATGCAGTTATATCAAAGAACTTTTATTGGCATGCACATAATCAGCTGATATGAGCAGGTAATTTAGCTATATATATATATATATATATATATATATATATATATATATATATATATATATATATATATATATATATATATATATATATATATATATATATATATATATCCTATGCCGACACCAAATAGTTTCGGCGAATTCCAACTTTTCGAGATGGAGTGGACTCTAGCCCTATACCCAAACATAAATGTCTAAAAATAACCCCTCCGGTGGCCTAGTGGTTAAAGGGTCGGCCTTGGATGCGGGAGGTCGTCGGTTTGATCCCCGGCCGAGTCATACCAAATAATTTAAAAATGGTGCCTCGCTTGACGCTCAGCATTAATAGATTAGTGTTAGGACTGGTCGGCCTGTTGTTAGGATACTGTGACTGGGTGGGACTTCATGCTACATGTTTGCGGCATGATGCCCCAGTGTTAGATATCACTATAAACTGCCACACTGCAGACATCGTAGCTATATGACTGAAAAATTGTAAGAATCCAAATCACAAATCACATAATGTCCATATATCAAATATGGAGTGGCAAGTGTCAGAGAAAAATTGGACTATAATGCTGACTATATTATTTTGTTACATAGCTCCACTCAATAACTCACCTTCAACACTCTTCTCGACCATTCACCCCAGGTTTTAGTGGATGCCATCTCAAAGTTCATTTATAATCTTTCTCCTTTTGTTCTGAGAATATCTTACAAGGCCTGCTAATTTTATCATCTGAGATTAGGAGATATTAAAATGGGAGCAAATGGTGCAGAATGTGTTATTGAGGAATGATCACCGTGACGATTATAAAATGATCCAGTGAGTGCCATTCACTTTACTTGGTGCTCCTTGACAGCCATTTCCAGTTTTCATGTTTCTAGATGTTTGTAGTCAATCACGTAGCCTGATACTTTTGACTAGGAAATCTGGAAGTTTTATACCAAAAAGCAGAAATATAATTACAAAAACAGCCAAAGTATTTGTTTTCTGCGACATGCATGATTAAGTACCTTCGGTGTGGACTGAGCGGAACAATAATTACGAAAGGTCAATATTTTAAGGCGTTTCGTTGATGTTACAACTAGTCTCTTCTCACTTTAAAACGATTGTAAAAGGCCAATGGCAGGGCTTGTAAAGCGTTTCTTTGATGTGGTGTAAAACTTAATTTCTCCCATCTTACAAGTGCGAAAGGCCAAAAAATTTGAGTGATCTTATACAAAACTTCTTTCTTCTCATCTATGAACGCTAATAAATGCGGAAAAGTATTTTCCAGTTTTTGAAGCTTCAATGTTGCTTTCTGATCGAGTGATCTCATGGAAAAACGACGAAACCTTTCAAAGAATTAATTGCATGAGCAAATCATGTATATTGTTTCATTTTATAGTATTTATAACTTCTTATAAGGAATTAAATTGTATTATGTTATTTTAAACATGTTTTGAAATATTTTCAAGGTCTTTTAGTCTTGAAATTATTTTAATGTTTCCTTTATTGGAGTCGATAAAATGAAATCACATTATCAACAATTCGTATTAATATGGACTCCCTGAAAGTCATCATATCCGCGATTTCATGTCAGCCTTGCGTTATCTTTGGAGATGAAGTTCTTGTAGGTCAAATGAAAATATTTTCGAGAATACGTGGTTCTTAGTTTCAATTTTAATCGTAAACAGTAAAATTCTTCCTAGTCTATTTATTTAGGCTCAAACGTGAACGAAACATAAAACTAAATATATTTGATTGCTATAATGTTGTTTGGTTGCTGGTTAAAAAAGGACCAAAAGGCTTTGAAAGACATGAGAATTTTTCTTTAGCGTTCGGCAGCTTACCTTAGGTTTTGCCAAAAAGGCCAAAAATATTCGAATACTGTTTAAGGTATCGTACTTTGACACCCAGACAGTATGCATGTGAAAGAAATGATATTAGCTACATGGGTATAAAAGTGATATTACCTATATTGGCATAAACGTGATATTACTTACACTGACATAAACGTGATATTACTTACATGGGTATTAACGTGATATTACCTATATTGGCATAAACGTGATATCACCTACACTGGCATAAACGTGATGTTACTTACATGGGCATAAACGTGGCATTACTTACATTGGCATTAACGTGATATTACTTACATTGGCATTAACGTGATATTACTTACATGGGCATTAACGTGATATTACCTACACTGGCATAAACGTGATATTACTTACATGGACATAAACGTGATGTTACTTACATGGGCATAAACGTGATATTACTTACATGGGCATTAACGTGATATTACCTACACTGGCATAAACGTGATATTACTTACATTGACATAAACATGATATTACTTACATGGGCATTAACGTGATATTACCTACACTGGCATAAACGTGGTATTACTTACATTGACATAAACGTGATATTACTTACATGGACATGAACGTGGTATTGCCTACACTGGCATAAACGTGGTATTACTTACATTGACATAAACGTGATATTACTTACATGGACATGAACGTGGTATTGCCTACACTGGCATAAACGTGGTATTACTTACATTGACATAAACGTGATATTACTTACATGGACATGAACGTGGTATTGCCTACACTGGCATAAAAGTGGTATTGCTTATATGGAAATACACGCAATATTACTTAAATGGGAAGAAATGTGATGTTACATACATTGACATAAATGTAGTATTACCAAAATTAGAAGAAATGTGATATTACCTATATGTGCATAAATATAATATTACCTAAATTGGAAGAAATGTGATATAAGTTACATGGGCATAAATCTGATATTACCTAAATGGGAAAAATGTGATATTATTTTACACGGGAATACATCTGATATTACTTATATGAGCATAAATGTGATATTAACTACACGTGCATAAATGTAATATTACCTAAATTGGAAGAAATATCATATTGCCTAAATGGGAGGAAATGTAACATTACAGAAATTAGAAGAGAAGTGATATTAACTAAATG